ATATACCCGCTCACCATTAACTTCAAAAAAAGGCTTTGCTACAGTCACTCTTAGTTGGTTAGCGAGACTTACATTTGAACTGCCCTGGTCACAAATGACTGCTTTCACTGCAATATTAATGCTCCTAAGCTCCAAAATGAGTGACACCAGCAAGTTATGCATAACAGATGATGGTGTTGATGTGTGCCCTATAGTAAAAGCAACCGGTTGAACCCACTTTCTCGAAACGCCAACAAGAAGAAAAACCAGTGCTCGATCAGCGATGGTTGAAGTGCGATGAGTGCCATCATATGTAAAACCCTAGGCAACGTCTCTTGCAGCATCATAGTACAAATTCTTTTTGAGTGCTATTTCGTCGAAAACTAAAGCGCACACTTGGTCCCGTTCATTCCAAGCTTGAGTATTTGTTGCAATGGAAGAAAGGATTCCTGGAATTATGCCTGGAGTCATCTTTACATTAGCTAGCCACCTCCTTAATGAACGCCGGGAGGGCAAAGAAAATATGGAGCCAGAAATCGGTATGCTCGCGGACCTCGGAAGTTTAAGTGAAGAGCAAATTTCTTGAACCACACGGGAAACCGCTTGCCCTTGCGTTTGGGCCTCAAGCGAACATGTGCAGAAAGAAGTTTAAAAACCTCCTCGGTGAAGTGCGGTCGGATAACTTCAAGGGCCTTTGAAGTCGATGACGGTGCTTGGTGAGGCTGTCTCCGCAGTCTTTTGATAGTTTTCCGCTGTGCTGCTACTTTGGCTTGCAGATGTTTGATGGTTTGCTTGTACTTCATTGATGAAGACATTGTCGCTGGCACACAGGAACGCACTGCAATAAACAAAAAAATGGATGTAAAAGCGAAGAACAACTAATCACATACGAGCACTTTCCTCGCTCTTTCAGACCCAAGGTGCACAACTTTCTGTGGTGCAAAGTTTTCGATTCCACTACCTAAAAACAAACCATTCACAATGTTGACAATGCACAAAAAAAATAAAAATCACTGAGAGCCCACCCTTACATTTTGCAAGTGCACACGTAGTGTTCTTTTGAGGATAGTTTCCTCAGAATGTCCTAAACATAAAATAGCACATTAAAAACAGCTGCAATAAAAGCATAGTCACCATTTTCTCTAGGGCACTCAGGCGTGGAGCTGTTGGCGGAGACGTGTTCTGGACGGTTTTGTTAAGCTTGTTCAGTGCCTCGGACAGTGCTGTCGGAACAATCTTGCGAGCGGCCTGCGGAAATCTCTATATCAATCCACTCTGGTGTTGAAGTGAACATACAACTTACCGGTCACACAAGTTCCTTTTGTGACAGCTTAATGACTGGTTAAGGTTTTCTCCGGCAAGACGAAGTCAGCGGAAATTCTTACACCAGCTACAAGGGAACTGCCACCTGCAGAGGTTTGGTCAACAGTCAATTTCGGTAAAAAAAAAAGAAATCGCGACACTGAACGCACCCTGTTCATCGGGGCACCTCAATGTGTGGGAGCCGCTTTTTGAAGCCTCTACCGCAGGTCCTGAAGAAATGAAATTACGACAATGTATCAGTAAGAGGCTTAAAATAACACAAACTGAAGCTCATCCGCAGCTTGCAGTGCAGCTTCTGCAGCCATGTCACAGTCACTACTTGAAGCGACGCTCAGAGAACCTGCATATATGTGCAGTTGGTACAAGTTACACAGCTTGTAGCATGGGGAAACTTAAACAGCTCTTTCAAACGCATAAATTGGTCGAACGTGGAAGAAAAGAGAAGGCACCAACTAGGAAACAAATAATTTGTGATTTTTGGAATTATCAACAGTGGCAGCTTTCACTGATGAAAGATATACGTACATGTGCACTCAGGCTTGAAGATAACGTGAAATAGCCCTTTAAGTCTTTTAAAACAAGTTGCGCAGGTCAAGAGCATGAAAAAACGACAGAAATGTAAAGCTGCTGTTAGGAAGGTAATAGCCCACAATTCACAAAATTTAAGACTTTCCAAGTGAGGCTTCTCCATCGGCTACAAAGATCTTCACGGTTAACTGTCGCCACTGATTCAATACAAGTGGCTGCTATTGCACATATTTGAGTTTCAGTCAATCACTCACATGGTGCAGCTGGTTGCACACTGGGAACAGCCATTCTTGTAAGCCTTGTGTGCCCAGGGTCCATGAAACTTTGAGCAGTAAAATGGTCGCTACAAACCCTGTACGTTGCGTACAATAGGCTGGCCGGCTTACTAAGGAGATCATCGCGTCCAGCATACTGCATCCATGCTTTCATCCTGCATTGGCAATGAACTATCAGCTGAAAGGGGAAGTGCTTGAATAGTGATTTTTTATTGTTACCCTCACTGAGCAAGTACGAACAGTAAGCCTAAAGACATCCAAACAATACAAAAGCTTCAACACACCTGCCGACCCGTGGTATGCGGAAGAAACTCGTCCCAGGCTTCTTGTGGGTTCTGCCATTGTTGAAGCACCACGATACACAGCAGTAGCTGACGTAGCTTGGACCGCCGGACGGCATGGCATCAGCGCGGTCTGAAAATGTTAGTAAGTGGATGCTTCGCTGTCAAATTACGAAAAAGATATGTGCACGTCATAAGTGTACCAACAAACCCCTTTGAATGATTAGCTAATCGATGCACAATACAAAACCAGTGATACATCTCTGACCCATAAAACTCTGACTTGCAAAGATATACGTCAAGACCACGTACAAAGATCTTCAGAAGTTTCCAGGCCGCTATCCCTTGTAATGCAATGGTATCGCGGCCTGGGAACTTTAGAACACCTTCGTACGTACGCAGTATCAGCAGTACCTTGGGAAGAAAAATCGTAGTTGAAATTTATGCGGTAAATTTATATTGGAAACGTCAAAAAAATTTGTGAGCAGCTTGCACTAGTGGCACAAGGCTAGCGAAAAAACGAAGATGATGGCCACTTGGCTAGTCCAGATTCGCCTCCGGCACACCAAGAAATATTCGTGTTCCGAGCCTTCGGGAAACGCGTCGCGAAGCATGCGAGGCCCAGCGAATGCTTCTCAATATTTTGCACCGAGCCTATGACCTAGCTGCCCACTACACTCAGCGCACAGACGCTCGCATCCGTGGCAGACGCAGCACGCGTCGCCTCGGCTTGACGCCGTGCCGCCTTTGCTATACTGCATACGTTGCACAATGTTCCCGTCTAGCCGCCGCATAGAGCCACAAACTTTCTTTTTAGCGAACCTCCCAGTCCTTACAAGCTTCAGAAAAAGGTTACAACTGCGTGAATGAGACGCCACGTAAGAAACAAACTCGCACACTCGAAGCGCAACGTGTGTGTGTGCATCTTTCCATGTTTGTTGCATGGTGTCTTATTCGCGCAAATGTAACCGTTTTCTGAAAAAATGACCCAACAAGACCAACAACATGTCATTCAACAAGCTTCGCTTGAAAACGTGCCTCACCTGTTATCTCACGCACAAAAACGCCGACGCAGCCGACGTTGACGAAAGCGACGAAAGCTTCTCGCTGTCAGTCATGCATGGGCTTGTCGCTGGGTAGATGGTGTTTATGACAGTACGGCTGAAGAAAAATAATCGCGTAAGGTGTGTTGAATAAATTGTTTTATGTATAATAAACATACCAAATTTGGGCGTATAATTATTATTTTGTAAAAACAATTCTGTTGCATTGATTATAACAGCTTTTTTTTTTTGCGCTTGCGCCCTCTGACGTTTGGTGAGAGCACTAGCTCGTTACGTAGTCGTGACGCACTTCCTGAGGCCAGGTTTCGCGGAGTGTCCGCTCTTGTCTTCTTTCTCTATGCTCCGACTATGTATACGCACGTGTTACTCGCCATAAATGAATAAACAGGAGGCTCGACAGCATACAGCATACTAGAGGGGACTCTGGCGCTCCGATTGTTCAGCGACCGTGGGAATGAAGGGGAATGCACGGATTTGCCTAGTCTTCGTACTTGCCGGCGGCAAATCGCACTTGTGGCTTCGTTTACTACTGTGTTTCGGTTTTGTTTCAAAGAACGAACTCTTTTGAACTGCGTGGCCCGATTTGAAATTGTAAGCCTCAAAGAATAAGGTGGTGAAGCACAACCACTACATATTTGTAATTTTTGTTTCGTGAGAAAACAGTTTTAGGCTGCACAAACACACACGGAGTCAGAAGTACGAAGTTTAAACAAATCTGTGAACTACCCATCATATCTGCGCTCGCAGAAGTGCCGTGCGTTGTAGCTGCCATAGACACTAGCGCCAGAGTTCCCTATAGTGTATTTTCAGGAAACTATGCTCGACAGCAAGCACGGAGAGTTCGCAAAGCCGAAGCGGTGCAAAGGTGTCAGCAAGCGAAACCGCAGTTGAGAGTTCACGAAGCGGCGGCAAAACGACAACGAAGGCAAGCGAGCCCGGAGTTTAGAGCGCGAGAAGCTGATGTGAAACGCAAGAAGCCTGCGCTACCCAACGTGAAGGACACCCACTTCGAGCGCGATTTCTTCGAACGCAGCTTCGGAAACAGTTGCGAAGTGTGCGATTGTTGGTGGTTTGATAACAGCATCCCCGAGATCACGAACATTTTCACTCGTTATCTGATGTACAGTGGGTGGTGTACGGGTATTCACGTTTACCCGATATCCCTATGCAGTGCTTCGCCCACTCGTTATTATTCACTCCATGGTTATGCTGTTTTCTTTTTTTGTCCTTGTTTCTACAAGGGTCGCTGTCGCAAAGCAACGTAATGAAGTCTTGAAGGAAATTCGGGCATTCGTTCACTCATTGAGAGACGACATACGGAAACTGCACCAATCTGCAGATGCGCGGAGCACTTGTCTCTGTTCCCGTTGCTGCGAAAACGAAGAAAAGCTGTCAAAGCTCGCTGGTGAACAGAGAAACATACTTGCCGCCGTGACCTTAGGCACAGCTGTGCACTTGACGCGCGTTTTGATCCACAAAAGCGCGTTGGCCTGAAATGTCGAGGAAGTGATATTCAACAGAAGGACACGAGCATCCAAGTGTGTGCATAACCGTGCTCTCATGTGCACGCTAGCGGAGCTTCTGGCCGAGCGTCATTTCCGGGCCCCCGAATGGTGTGTACACGTTGTATAAGTGCTGTGTACGACGATGTTAGAGCCGCCGGGCACACCCCTGCCGGATCGACACATAGAAGCTAGTTGCTGACTGTGGCAGGGCAGCATGGGCGCTCTTCAAGCGCTACTCTAAGGACGGCCATATTGATGGCTTGTCGACAGTTGACCTTCACCTACTAGGCTGCGGTGTACGTATAACGGAGGGACCTAAAGCTTGACCGAATAGTCGCCCCACTAGCGAAGGCGCGGGTCGGCTTCGCTCTTCTGTAGACGCGCGAGTGCAAGAATGACGAAGACCTTCTGGTGAGCACATTGTCCTATCAAATGCGCCGTATCGGATACTGTATCCACCAATGCACTTATTGAAGCGCGAAAACTATCTGTTTCTTAGCCAGTCTATGGGTTGCGAGGGTTTGAAAATTCTATCTGTTGCGGGAGTTTGAAAGTTTGAGACATGAAAATTTGGACATGCATGTCGTGTACGGCATGTATTACATATCTTGCTCATGATGCGCTCGCAGCCGTTTTGGTTGATATACGCTGAAACTAGTATTGCGTGACGTCGTTGTATGAATAACGTAAGTGACAGTTCCTAACATGCAAATCACCACATATCGCACGTGTCATGTACATACAGCATAACTTGCTCCTTGCTGCCGGCTTCGCATTACATCGATTACCTAAGTGCATTGTATCTGCTCGCTTTTTTTTCGGATGGTATAGATCTGACGTATCATGCTAACAATTTTAAACCCAGAGCTAACATTTCACAGACCTTTTTAATCACGTAAACTCGAAACACCTTGTCTAAGAGCTGTCCTATGACAGCACTATCATTCTCTACAGCAGGGTAAAGTACATTTTCCTCCCATAGTCACTCATGTTACATATTATACTGGATGTACCAGCTAATTCCTACAGAGTTATTATATAGGCCGATACACTTTATGACGACGCGACCAAATGAATGTTGCTTTCTACGTAGAACGGAATTCGTCAGACTGTTTATGCGTTTTTTATAATTGATAAATTAAGCAAGACCAATTGACCAGCCTTCGAACCAAAAAAAAAATACAGGCGAAAAATTACAAGGATAAAAATGCTGATAGGTTCGCAAAACGTCCGACTTGACATTTTCTAACTTTGTAGATGTAAAGCGTTAGTATTTTCTTGGATACTACAGATACCCACTTAGTACAAAACTACACCACGTGACATTATTTCACGGGATTATTTCACGCCTACTTTATATTTTCGCGTTGTATAAAGTAGCAGCCATCCTGTCCATTCGTTACAGTGAATGTCGTTTTATGCGCTCAAAACTCCCGCTAACACTATTTTCACTTGCGCGCACTAATTGATGTGCTCCCTAACGTACCGAACTCAAACAGTACTTGCTTTAGGGCAGTTCATTCCGGTTCGAACAGAATCAGCTGTTTCCGGCAAAGCAAGGTTCTCATCAGCATGCTGATGTATTTTATTTCTATTTAGAGTTCGTTATTATCGATACAGCTAAATTTTGTTGCGACGAGTCCCAGCTACTAGATGTCTTTACAAACTACTTTCATCCACTCCTCCACACTCACGAAACGCTGGCAAGCTTCGCATTTCTTGACGTACGGATGTGTTTTGCAAGCCACCGTGTGTGCTCTTAGTATGAGCCTATAGGATCTGTAAGCTGTTGTCACGTTTGTGGGGTCATTTAAGCTCGGTTGAGAGATGTTGCGAAGCTATAACTCTAATCAATGCTCATTGGCGACCCTGTTTTCGCTAGTGTAGGAAGAGCTTGCTGGCCCAAATTGGGCGCTTGAACTATGCTGGATGCGCACTGGTGGTGATCAGTTCAGCGGCCAAATGTTTGCTTGAAACATTCCTGAAACAACTTGTTGAGTTGTTAGTAGCCACCTCTGTGTTCAGTTGTTAGTAACCACTCCTTTGTTCACTATGTCTGCTTCTGTCTCTGTCTTCCTTTTTCTACATTTTAGTGCACGTGGCTTTCTTCGAGTTTAAGTATGTACAAACTTGCCCAATCAGCAACACTGTTGAAAGGAAGACCGCCGTCCCGTCAGCCTTTGCACATCGTTGTGCAAGATAAGCTAGCTGTATGAAATGTGAACGCGTATGCAGTGTCATTGAGGCGTCTCGGGTCGCCGGTGACGTAATCACAAATTGTCGCTCGTCCCCGGAGGCACTGCGGCTCCGCGAGATGATCGATACTATCGACGGGGAAGAAAACGAAGAAGTACAATAAGAAAAAGACGGCTTGCGTGTTCGGGTCGCCTGAGGCATATGCATAAGTGACCTTGTGACCACTGCGTTGTGGCCTCACTGGCGGGTGCTAGTATGCAAGCTTCCTCTGGCCGGAGAAACCGCTTAGCTTTGCTCCGGCAAGATTGAGGACATCGAGGGCAAATAACCGAGAATCAGGGTACGTAGCTTATCACTGAAGTTGATGAAAGAAATGATGACAAGACGCTTTTCGCATTGTTCGTGCCTATCAAGCCGATTCAGGATCTATCAGTGCACAAGTATATCTGTTCCTCTAGATCAGTCCGGCAGAGTGACAGCGTCTTCTCTTCTAAGCTTAGGTTATGCTTCCTTCAACGAATCATTTAGACCAAAAACGAACACGATGTTCGTTCCACTTACATCATCGAGTGATACCTTCGCAAACGACGTCCACAGTGCCTGCTGTGGCAGGGGAATTTTCGGGTTTGAATCTGTTTTGGGGAATATGTATCGTTTTATAAAATGACCACTTTGCTAACAGGCGCTTGCACTGAAGTGAGAGAGAGAAAGATTAAACTTTCTTTGGCTCTGCAGCTGTTCTGCAAAGCGCTGTTCTGCAGAACGCTTACATTAAATTTTTGTATTTTATAATAAAAACGTACCTGGTTTCTCCAAGAATTTAACAGCTGTATAGACTTCAGAAATTTTGGCATTCTCAGAACCGATACATACTGTGTTGGTTTTAGATTTACTGTTTATATCACCTCACAGTAACAACAAAATACACGACAAGGTAAAAACAGTAGAATTTTACCGAACAACCCACTCTCACGTAATACATAACGAGTCGGTAGAGCACGACACAGCGCTCAGAAATGTACAGCATAACATTTAGCAGTTTGTAAATAACAGACCTGTCCGAATAATGAATTTGAGTCCAAAGCAACTTTATAGCTCCCAGGCCCATTACAAAAGTGTTACGAATTCAACGCACAAACTGGAGCTAATAGGTGGTAGCTGAACTTGGGCATCTCGAAGGGAATCTGAATCACTTCAAGAAAACAAAAAAATGACAACATGCGTAGCCGAAGCTGTTCACGGAGTCCACTATTCAAGGTACCTATAGATTTTCACCCAGGATTTCGAAGATGACAAAGTTCCGGTTAGTTTTTCCACGCCTACGCCTTTGGCACCTTTGCGTGGGCTGATGAAGACAAATATTCCTTTCACGTATTTTAAAGCACCTGCCTAGTAGTCATAAAAATAACAAAATTTGTGACAATAATGTCCATTCTTGCCAGCCACAAAGTCTTAGCACGCTCTCAAACAACTTTAGCTTGCCTTTGAAAACCGCACATGAAGCATTAGAAAATACTCCAGGGGAATAAATTAGTAACGTCAAAAATTTTCTTGATGGTGTTGAATGTGGGATTCCACGCTCAAAAACCGTCTGTCTTAAGCGCTTGCTGACTCACTCATTTTCGACTTCTTTTTCATATAATTGAACTGACAGGAACAAGGCCTGTACGGGATGACCTTATGACTTTTCCACAAGTTCACTCCTAGTGAGCGTTCATTATTACAATGTTTCACACATTTTAAGAACCCTTCGTGTGAGAAAGAGTAACAAAGGTCTTCGCCATCCGTGTTCAAAGCTTGATATCCGCTGGGGTTTTCCTCCCAGGGAAACTGATCCAGTGCCTGAGAACGAGACGCATGTGCACCAGGTCTAGAAAAGTCAGTCAGGCTAAACTGTTCTGCGCGTGACAGCGATTTGCCAGACTTATTTCGCAGGTACAATTGCTAGAAAAAGAATCTAGTTCCTATACACTTTCGCTGAACAAAAAAAAACGCAATTACAAAGTGAGCGTTTAGCTTTCTTGACACTACAAAATATAAAATCAAGATTACGCTCTAAGGAAACGTCGACACTGCACGTTCTCTAACACCGACGGCTTAAGTTTCGCAATGATAACAGTGTGTGTGTGTGGGGGCGGGGGGGGGGGGGGTTGGGGGGCTGCTACCACTTTTCTGAAAAAATGCTGTCTGGCGCAATCACAATATACCCTTCGTTATCTCAAATTACAGGCTTGAGTTCTCTGCACAATAATTAACTAAAGTCTAACAAAGCAACAAATTTACTGCTAGCCGCACAGGTGGGGCCTATAAAGTACTTTCAACTGCGGCCTCAGGTATAGTAAAACGAACGGGCCACTGTCTCAAACAGAGATAAAGGGAACTTAGAAGGTTGCTAATCGGATCCGACGCTCATCATTCAACATTGTGAGCGCGACAAGCGAATGACATTCGTTCCCTTTAGATATCATCATTTAGATATCATCAGATATCTTCCCTTTAGATATCATCAGATATTTTCGTTGTCATCGCCATTGCGTGCACCGCCTTACTAGCACTTCAGCGTCCTCCTCGGCCAATCTGTTACTACTGTGGCTATCGAGGACATATCACTCGGTTTTGTCGAAGGCGCCAACAAGACGAGCAACGCGGTTACGCTCCTGAAGAACATCGAAGCTTCCGTCCGACCATGAACTACCTATGACCACCCTCCCACTCGTCCTATAACCGTTCACCGTCTCCTACCTACCATATTGACATGCCTGGGAATTCCCGTTCGTCTCGCCGCAGGTCACCTTCGACAGGTCGCCGTTGAGTGTCGCCTCGGCGGCGCGCCTCCCATTCCACGAACACCCACGCGGAAAACTCCCCGATGCAGTTTCAGCAGGGGAAACTACATCCACCGGACAACTAAC